TTCTATCTTCGATTAGAAAAAAAGACTAAAGTTATGGACTTTAATTTTTATATTAGAAAAAGGAAAAAACAAAAATTACTATTAAGGTTTTTTTCTATTTTAACAGAATTGTTATTAATTGTTATTTTTGGCAAGAGTCGACCAAGTGTTGCCAACTTTGTAAAACCCAAAATACTGTTATAATCCCGCCCAAATCGCTTTGAATTTTCCATTTTAAATGAAAGTGAGTCAAAATCCGTTCCCAGCAATTTGCTTGTGTCGTAAAAAGATTAAAGTTAGGGACTTGTAGAAAAAACAAAAATTACAATTTAGGTTTTTTTTCTATTTTAACAGAATTGTTTCCAACCTTAGAATGCCACAATTCTATCTTCGATTAAAAAAAAGATTAAAGTTAGGGACTTTATATATAATTTATATTATTTTTTTTTCTATTTTAACTGAATTGTTATTAAAATAATAAAATAATCCATCCCAAATCGCTTTGAATTTTCCATTTTAAATGAAAGTGAGTCAAAATCCGTTCCCAGCAATTTGCTTGTGTCGTCGTCGTCCTCGCAGGCGGATACCCTAATTCAGTCCAACCAATAAATATCACTTCCTACGTGTCCGTCTTTGAAACGATTCTTATTCAAGTGCACATCTCTAATTCGATTAAATGGGGGGAATTAATGTGCAGGTTAACAACGACCCCGACATCCTCCCCAACGTGACACTAGTGATGCGCTGGAACGACACGAGAGGGGACACAGTGATAGCGACTAGAGCCATGACCGATATGGTCTGCGACGGCGTTTCGGCCTTTTTCGGCCCTGAAGGCACCTGCCATGTCGAAGCCATAGTCGCCCAATCGAGAAATATTCCAATGATTAGTTATGTAAGTCCTGAAAACGTCCTGAAATTCCCCCCAAAAAACGAGCTTTTTTCAGAAATGTTCCGATTACAAAGCTTCTCAAGTACCAACTTTCGCCAGAACCGAACCACCAGATACACAGGTAAGTGGTATAACACACAAAAAAGTCATGTCGTGACAACTTGACAAATTTTATATCATTTTGTTCGTAAAAAAAAATTAAAAAGTCCACACACTTTGAACAAAATAATTTTTTCTAATTTAAATGAATTTAAAATACTTTAACTTTAAAATAATTTTTTTTTCATTATTACCATCGTTTTCAAAAGAATATACCGAGTACTTTTTAAGATATGATTTTTTGAAGTTAAGGTTTGCATGTTAATCTTACTTAAAATTGCATTTTTATAAAGGTATTTGTTTTAAGACTCTTCTTTTGCTTAAAAATGGTCAATTGCACCTTCTTTGTTCTAATTAGAATAAACAAAAAACTGTTTCTTTACTTAAAAGAAATAAAGAGTACCTGCGTACTAATTAAAGCAAATAAAGAGTTTTTTTGTTGTAAAAATGACCTCTGATCATTGAGCAAAAAGGATGTAGAAGTTTAAAGCAGTAGCTTTAAATATAAGAACAATTTTTTTCAAATTAAATCACTTTCCATTCAGATTCCAACTTGTTCACTTTGATCTAGCTTTCTGAACTTTTTTTGAAAATGTTCTGAGCAAATGCTTTCTCATCACTTTCGAGTGATGTTAAATGCAATAAGTCAGTTGCTTCATGTGCAAAATTGTAAGTTTTCTAAGCATATCTAGTGTTTTTTGATTAAAATAAGCTAAAAAAAATGCATATTTTGCATATTTTGGCAACTTGGTGCATATTTTAGGAAATATAGCATATTTGTGCATATTTTCTTCAAATCACTAATTTCCAATTAAAGATTTCAGTTCAAGTTAAAAATTGGACAGTTTAAGAAAAATAATCCGATTACAAAATATTTTAAAGAGAAAACAACCGGTAATTCGTAAGCCAAACTCAAAAAATTAGTTCCCTGCTGAGAGTTTTCTTTTTAAATTCGTTTTATACTGGGTGAATA